GCTCACAAAGGGTGAATGTATAATCGAGAATATCACTAAGATTTATTCTTAAATCATCTATTGCTAGTAAGGACGTGACACGTGTCCTCTAACTAGTGGTTTTATTGCTGAATGATACCATAGATAAACGGTTATGATCGGGACCCTCTGACCGGGTGATTTTGCCACTAAATTTACCACTAAATTACAATCATTTTCAGAGCTCGTATGTTCCCTAACAGTTTTAAATCCTTGAGTGATGAATCAAGATGATATAATTGATAGGGCATAAATCTTTTTGTTAGCTAAGGTGGATTCAAATATATCTCCTTTGGCAAAACATTCACCCCAAATTTATAAGGTTCCCTTGTACGAAGCAACACATGGGTGCCAAAAAGGATCCTTCGGTCAAGTTGGGTCGATTACCTCCTTTGACTAAGTAGACTAGGGACCATAATGACCCGAGACTACGAAATCATAGGATCTTGATCGGTTTATCATCATTCACCCCACCATCCACTTTCAGTACCAGGTGATGAATTTCTAAATTTAAATATTAAGTTTCACATCTAAAATTATTGTTACTATATGTTGAATACTATTTATTTATTTTGTCGAGAGGGATAATTAATTATAGGGGCTTACACTTATAGTAAACTTGAATTTAGATTATAAAGTCCTCACAAAATGGAGATGAAATCTCTGGGCAATATCTTATCTAAACCCCAATCTACCTTTTAAAAATTTACCTCAAAACTTAAATGTTAAAACTCTTCTTGTTCGCCCATAAAAAAGAAAGGGGCCGCGGAGAGGCCGAAGCACGAATTTTTGGAGCCCACACATACCATATGCAATTTTGACATTTAGATGGCCCTAATAGTTCAAACAAAAAAGGTGAGATGGCCTAATCCAAATCAATTCATAGCACTAGACCTAATACACAATGAGAGACAAATTTCTTTGACAATCAAATTTGATCTATTGTAAATTTCTTGTCCTCCACAACTCATCCTTAGTGTGGTTCATTACATGCCATCCTAACTACACTATGTGTCTTGCCTGATGCTTGTCGAATGCGGTCACCTTTGCTCTCACCGCCCTCTAGAGCGACCTTCAGCGTCCGTGGTGTGTGTCGTGTGTGCTCAATCATCACGAATTTCTCATTGCTCACACTTGGATTATTTTCTTTGGATCCCTATTAGTGCATTTCAACAATTTTTCGATGGAAAATCTTCTGCCTGTAAAACATGCATTGGAAAACAAACATCGACGAAAAAAATCCACTGTAAATTTTTTTGGCGAGCAGAAATTGCTACTAGAAAAATTAAAAAAAAAATTGTTCAAATTCTGCCCAAGCGGGCTAGCCCACCGCATACGAACCCACTACCCGCTAGAAAATGCACTACCCACCCGCCCGTGCCCGTAGGGGTTCTGCTCCCACTGCCCATCCTCGTTCACGCTTGCAGAGCAAAATCTTTCATAAAAGCTTTTATTTTCCATTTAAATTATAGCTTATAGAATATTAAAATTAATAATTAATTAAAATTAATATTAATATTTTTGAAATATAGTTTAGTTTTTAAAACATGAAATATAATCTTTGCTAATATTTTTTTAATACTCATTAATATTATTTTTAATTAAATAATAATCAAAACATATTATATTTTATTAAAGATTATTTTTAATATTATTTTATAATCATTAAATTATATATTAAGATTATTTTTATTTAAGATTATTAAACAATAAGTTTTTTTATTCAAAATTTTTTTAATTTTCCTTTGGAATTAAAATTATTTAACAATACTTATTTAATTGATTAATTAGTCAACATAAACTAATTAATTTAACTTAGCAATAATTATTAAAACTATTTATTTAATTTATAAATATTTATTATAATTATTTTCTGGAAGATTTAAATTCCATCGAAAATCTACTGGAAAATCTATTGGAAATATTCCGGCGAAACTTTCTGTCGAAATTTTGTCGGAAAATCCGCCGAAATGTTCGATGAAAAATTTCCTCTAGAAAGTCCACCTGTAATTTGTATTTTTTCTTTAGTCAGAGGGCTAGAGGGCCTCTTTGCAGTCTTGATTGGATTCGCTACTTATAAAAGTTTGTTCATCAACTACTATTTTATGTCATACTCTTCACTTCTCCTAACTCAGATCGTGGCTTAGCGTCCTTGTAATGGTTTCCATCACATGCCCCTCAGGTCATTTCTATTGTCATTATTGTTCCTTTGACTCTAAGGGTGTCAAAATCTGGCATTATCCGAAATCCGATCCGAATCTGATTCGAAAATTTTTGGGTTTGGGTCAACCCGTTTTTCATACAAGTCAGGTTCGAATTTGAGATTTCAATCCGTTTATAAATTGGGTCGGATTCAAATCGACCCCACAACCCAAAATCAACCCGGCAATCTGAAAATTTGACCCGCTTCATTGCTCGAGTCAGGTCGATCCCGTCGGCCATACCTTCTTTGCAGTTGACGCTGGCCATGCCCTACACCACGCCAGCCTGCCCTGCACTGTGAAAACCAAGCAAATTTCTTCTTTATGAAGAAAACCAAGCAAAGTTCCTCAAATTTAATTTGACGAAGGAGAATCATTAATGAGTAGAGGTAGTTCTGAATCACTTGTGATGAGCAGACGTTGTTCCGAACCCCTTGGGAATCGCTAGCTCAGGTAGATATTGTGGGAGAATAAAGGAATCGAGCAGATCGGGAAGATAGAAATCTTGATCTAGCTTGAAGCTCCACGGATTCCGGCTGGCAACCTAGACAGAGAATGAGAGGGAGGCAGATAGAGATTGAAAGGGACCTTATCTTGAGCCATGGCATCGGGCCGCTGGTGATCGGAGTTCATGCGATCGAAAACAAGAGGACAATAACATAGTGGAGGCGACCAGCCCAAGACGGATGCACATGTTAGCTTTGCCCAGGATGGAAACAGAGTCAACAGACGCCTGAACTTCGGTTCGCATCTTACAAACGGGTTGCGTGTCGGGTCGGATCAATCCAGTAAACAGTACGGGTCGGGTCCGGGTTGAAAATTCTGACCCGTTTTTTAAACCAGTTCGGGTTGACCCGTTTAGACCCGGGTCAACTCGGATTCGCCCTGAACCCGACCCGTCGACCCATTTTGACACCCATATTTGACTCCATTGTCTCTACTACCTACCCATCTTGTTATTTTTCCTATCATGGATATTCCTTTTTTGCCATTAGTACAAGTGGCCTAACTCCATTGCGGTTCTTTTTGTAATCTGTTGTCCTTCAATTTCTCTTGATGTTAAACATTCCTTGATCCTTCAGAGATGTTTTGGGTAATTTATAGCTTCGGGATCTCAACAAGCTTAGATTAGCCAATTTTCATAATTTATCATCAACTGTCATATCCTCGTCACAAACAATCCTCCATATTTTAGGTTAAATTCTTTTTTTCACTAATTCAGATTTCAGAGATCCAAATTGTCTATACCTTTTTCCATATCTATGGTAGAGTTCTCAATGGGATGATGTCCCAATCTTAAGACTATCTGTGCATTTATATCAGAGCTATTCCATCTGTCTCAGTTCAGTCATGTACATAAAATTTGAATTAAACTATGGATGGTATTATTGAATCAGAGCCTTCAGAACTTATCGTACAGAAATAATTCATGTGAAAAATAACATATTTTTTCTGCATCTAAAACCATTGTTTCAAATCGTCTAGAGGAGTTAGTCCTTGATCTCATTACAATTTATTAGGATGTTGATGCCACCAAGTCTGAGCAGCCTTCTCATTCAGATGGTAGCCTTCCGACTTTTGAAGCCCAATTAGATAGGATGTTTTAAATCCTATTTTCTAGTAGGGGCCAAAATAAGAATAAGAAATTGTCCTCATGCTCCAATATTCACTAGGCTACAAGCGAGGAGGGATGTATGAGAGCTTATCATGGATATCTTCACCTACAAATGGATAGAGTGTACTTTGTCATATTGCCATCCTTAATCATCTTTTTTGCTTTTACATTGTTCTTTGCCAATTCACCGTAATTGTTGCTTGTGTACTCATTTTGTTATCTGGTGGTAATGTTTCGCAATAAAAAAATATATTAAGAAAAGCTTGGACATTCAGTACTAGCATTTATAGAACAATTATCCAAAATGTTTTTTATGATGAATAGTGAGTGGGGGAAAATGGAGAAAATTGAACTTTCCTAAAAAGACACTTCTCTACTGTTTTTTTATTTTTTATTTTTTTGTCATCTATTGGAAATGTCCCTCACAAATGAAGCGAAGTTACACTTTCTTGGTGAGCGTCATTCCATGTCCTCCCCAAAAGAATTGGCCTACAAAGATAAAAAAAAAAATATTCCATAAAGCCTTTTTCTTCTTGCTGGTGGACAAACGTAAAGTCCGCTTCTTTCTTCATCTTCTGAGAAACTTCCACATTTTGTGGACAATGGAGTTTGCACTATCATTGCATGTCCTCTCTAGAAGAAATGGCTCACAAAGAGATTTTTATTCCAGAAATGTTTTTTGTTATTGATAGTGAACAAATGTAAAATTCTCTTCTTTCTCGTTTTCTGAGAAACTTTCACATTTGTGAACAATGGAGTTTTCACATCAGGTAAGCTAACATACTCTTAAGAGTAATGGCATTCTTTCTACTTGTAAAAGCGTAGACTTTATGTTGTGTTATTTTCATCTTAAGTTTCTAGAATGGAAAATATTTGGTTTGCTACCTCATCATGTCTTTTGCATAACATAGATGACTCGTGAGATTTGATTTCTGCTTCTAGCATGCTGCAATTCAATGATTCAAATAATTTTGTATTTCCAAAGTGATACAATAAAACAGGTTTAATGATTGACTGCTCAATTTATTGATTGTCTGGTGCATGTATCCACAAAATAAGCCAACTTCTAAATGTTCTTGTAACATTCTTTCTGCCTTACGTGTTTGCCCTTATGGTATTTCTTCACTTACCTTCTGCTTGGTTAATGAAGCTGTTCCTTTTTACAGCTGCAGTTCCTAATCTGGATATGGTTGAGAGTGTGGATAATGACAAGGTGAACATAAAGAATACTTGTATGTGTTGTCTGAATGCAGAAAATTAGTTCTTCTTTTACCTGTTAACCTCAGGCCGTAACTTCACCCTTTCTAGGTTACGAGGGTGAATTTTAGGTGCTTATTCTACAACTAGGATTATGATACCATTTTGACATGAAAATCTTTTATTGGTCCTACCAATTCAAAGAATGGATGAAAATTCTTGGGAGACTTTCCTAGGATTGATTTATATTTTGTATAAATCTGTACACAACATGCAAAAGAAAAATCTCTAATTTATATATATACATGACAAGAATTGAGCAATCAGAAATTTTTCTCAGGTGCATGGTACATACAAATTTATACAAAATAGAAATCAATCCTTGGAAAGTTCCTAGCATGAAATTATCTAATTCCAGAAATATATTTAAATAAACAAGGATTGATACAACTCCAGAATAGCATATCAGGAATAATCCTGAAAAGTTATCAACAATTCCCAGTTGTACGAACTCCTGTTACAGGAAGGGAAGCCGGTGATTTTAATTCTCTATGTCCGTGCCTCAATGCCATGCCATCAATTTCAAACTTGCTTAATAACCTTTGAAAGACAGCTTGTGATAAACTTTTTTTAAGTATATTAACGAGTTGATCATTTGAGCTCACAAAAGTGGTGCATATCAAACTACTGTGAAACTTCTGCTTATAAAATCTCTATCAACTTTAAGAAGCTTTGAATGAACATGTAAGAACAAAAATATTTGTAATATTGATGATTGACTTATTATTTTTATAGAGCCTCATAGGATCTTTTCATTCAACTTCAAGATGATTTTTAGCCATAACATTTTACAAATTCTAAGTTCCATTGATCTATATTCAGTTTTTGCAATACATTTTGCCAAAGTATTTTGTTCTTTGTACCTCCTGTCACGAGGATGCTCCCTAAAAATGTGCAATATCTTAAAGGTTGATCTTCTGCCTATCATAGAATTCACATAATATGCATTTGTGTATGCTCAACAGTTAGCTCCTCTTTTTTTAATAGACGTCCGTTGCTCCGTATACCCTTCAAGTATTTTATTATTCTATGTATTGTCCTAGGATGTGATTCTTTGGAATCGTGTATAAACTAACTCACAATACTGACAACATAGGCAACATATGATCTAGTAGGTGACAAGTAGATAAGTCTTCCCACAAGTCTCTAATAGAAGCCTTTTCCTATTGTCATGTCTTCTAGAGCATCTTTGATTCTATTATTAAATTTCTATAGGACTCTTGGTGGGTTTGTATCCCAACTTATCTATGTTTTTTTAACAAATATATTATATATTTTTGTTGCGATGTAAAGATTTCTTGCCAAGAATCTGAAATTTCATCACCAAGAAAACATTTTAGTTGGCCTAGCTCCTTCATTTAAAACTCTTTCACCAATCTTTTTCTTAAGTTCTTTCCTTCTAAGTCACTACTTGTTATTGTAATATCTACTATAGGCTAATGTGTAGAGACTCCCCGTGAAGCCTTGTGCTTTCACAAGCAACATGTGGTGTTGTTGACTCTATTTGTAGCACATATTGAGCATTATTTTGACAAATCTTTTGGAGAGTTGCACACCATTTGTTTTGTACGAGTCAAACCTGGTGATGCCTTCATATATATTTCCTTCCTTCAAATCGTCATACGAGAAGGTTGTTACTGATAAAAAACTCTAGTAGTGTTTGTCTTAGCAACAGGAGCAAATGTGTCAAGGTAATCAATCACATAAAGCCTGGCAACCAATATTGCTTTGTGATGTCCTGGCCAGGAGCTCTAAGTACCCATGTAGGGACAAATGGTTGGATGTAACTTCAAAGTTTTTTAGACTTTCTAAATAATATAATAATCTAAAGCAACTTTTTGTTCTATTCATAAAACTTCAAATGTCACTGAAAAGCCACTAAACTAAAAATTTTCATTAAAAATTATAGCAATATAAAAAATCTTTTTCCTGTTCATAAAACTTCAAATGTCACTGAGAAGTCACTAAACTTAAATTTTCATTAAAAATTTTAGCTTATTTTAATCAATTCAGTTTATGCATTTCGGTTAAATCTATAGATTTTAGTTGATATTATCTTTAATGCCTCCTAATTAAATAATTAATTAATTCAATAGGTCTTTACAATCTGTCCCTCTTATAAAATTTCATTCTTTAAATTTACATGTTATCTTTAGTTAAATTATAATAAAATCTATTTGATATATAATTATGAAACAAATTTTCATAACTGAAACTTTATTTAACCATCATTGAATCCTTAGCTTAGGTAACTTATGACCATTTAAGGTAAGGATCAATTTGTATTGAACATTAAAAAAGGATGAGGATTCATATACAATAACACTCCTCTACAAATCTAATGTATGAATTTAAACTCACATCTCTATTATCTCGTATTAAACATTACTAGCTCTTGATATATACTATAGCAAAATAATTTGAACTTAAATCCATTAGGCATAAGTGTGTTAGACCGGCCTAGGAGGGCCCGACCGGTCTAGGAGGGATTGGCCCAAGTCTATTCCAGGCGGAAGCCTGGTTCCGCCCAGGCCTAGCCCACCCACTTAGGGTGGGGTCCACGCATTAAGGAAGAGAGAGAGGGGCGGGCAAGCGAAAAAATTGAATTAGAGGGGCTATTTGGACTTTTTTACTTTGTATTATTTGCTTTTTATAGTTATTTTCATCCTTGGGTTAGGGTTATTTTATGTTTGGTTGAATTTGTATTTCTCTTAGGGTGTATTTCTCTTAGGGTTTGCTTAGGCTCTAGCCGTCGGCTAGAGAATAGGAGAGCCGGTTCTTCCTCTTGAATTGAAGATCCATTGTATTTTATTTGTTTTCTTCCCTCTTTCATCAATTATCTAGTTTCCTAGTGTTTTGCCATCAAATTTCTCTTGAGTTTTGTTTTATCTTGCTGAAATTCCAAATTTCAGCAAAGATTCTTTCAATTTCTGCAACTATTTCTTATCAAATTGGTATCAGAGTGCTTTCTTGGGCATGAAAATAAGTTATATTCGTCATTTTTGCGATTGGATCCTAGATCTAATTATGGCAGCAAAGAAGATAGAGGCTTTGAAGGGCGAGATGGAACAACTCAAGGCTGGATTAGAGGAAAAATAAACTAGGTGGAGGGAAGACTCCCAACCATTGAGAACTTCTTTGGAATCTTTGAAGAGATGATGAAAAAGATACTTGAGATGCAATCGAAAGCATCTTAGGGTGGAACCACAAGGAAAGGAGATCCAGGAGGACGACGAAGATTCTGATAGTGTTTTCCATCAAGGACCACCACGTGGGGCCTCGTTGGTGGGCAGATTGGGGTACTCCAAAGAGAGGACAACAAGGAGGGAAGTCAATCCCTTGTAGAGACTACCCAAGCATGGGGAGAAGTGGAATGGAGAAGGTCATGGTTGTGAGGAGCAATGTTTAAAGTTGCGTATTCGGGTATTGAGGCATTTTTCATTCGTGAGGCGAGGCGTAAGCCTCAAGGCGTTTTGAGGCGTAAGCCTCAAAATCAAAAAATTGCGTAAACATAAAATTATAAATTTTTTATATACTAATGAGCGAATAATATAAAACATAAAAAAGCACAATATATGAAGTGAAATCAAAATATCCCAATAATAAGACATCATAAAATATAGTTCAATTCAAAATTCTATCTTTCCCAAATCCTAGTATTTTTTCATTAACATATAATTCAAATTTTCAAAAATAAATAGCAATGACATATCACATAAGAACTCATAAGTCATCAGCACTGTCATCACTAAGGGGTTTTTTATTTGAATCATCATTATGATGAACTGCTCTCTCCCCTTCCTCCTCTCCTATAGAGTCCAATGTCGGGCATTTACTTCAAGATTTATGTAAGTTTTAATATATATAGTGTGAGGCGAGGCGGGCCTCAAAGCGGGCCTCAACCAAGTTGAGGCGCAAGCCTCATAAAAAAACTTGAGGCGTAAGCATCGAGGCATTTTTTACTGGAATTGTGCAAAGGTGGGCCTCAAGGCGAGCCTCATATTGCGCTATTTTAAACCATGGTGGGGAGCCATGGAGTCAAAATCAGTCAAGAGAGGAATGAAGGGAATCACACCACCACTACACCGGATGAACCAATTGGGGAAGAAACCATCGTATGGATGTGAGGGCAAGGAAGCTAAAGATGTTGGTCTTTGAAGGGGAGGATGCTCAGAATTGGGTGTACTGGGTGGAACGTTACTTTGCCATCAACGGTGTTAACCTCTATATAGAAGGAACAAAAAAAATCAATCAAAATAATACCTGTCGGATCCATGAATGCCAGCAGAAATCCCGTCGAGGCCCTCCTGATATCCTGCTGAATTCTGCGCCGCTCTCATCGAATCCTCTGTTATTCCCGTGAACCTGCCTCGATTGAACGACCGCAGATGTCGTTAAATACCAACCCAAAGCCCTCGCTCTCTCCCACGGCTTCCATTCACAGACGAAAATCCTCTCTGCTTCCCACTCGCCTCCTCCACGCGATCTCCCTCTACCCTGCCTGTGCCCGAAGACTCCACTGTGCCGAAGCTCAACCCGATGACGTCCGACGGCCTCTGATCGTGAGAGAGAGAGAGAGAGAGAGAGAGGGAGCTCTTCCTACCTCCTCCGACCAAATCCCGAGCCACCTCAATATTTATTATTAAGTATAGTTAATTATGATTAATTAATATTAATTATAATTAATAATATTTAATTATAATAATTTATTATTAATTATATTTAATTATAATTAATTATTAATAATTAATTATTTATGATTAATTATATTTACTTATAATTAATTATGGTTAATTAATTAAATCTTATTATTAATTATGTTTAAATTATTATTAATTAGGTTCAATTATAATTAGTTGTAATTAATTATTATTAATTATAATAATAATTAATTATTCTTAATTATAATTAAATATAATTAATCTTAATTAAGTATAATAATAACAAGAGATCTCT